AAACGTCCATAGTCCACAATAGCTCATTAGGCCTCCTTTCTTTCTCACTTCATAGGTCTAGTCTAAACCCACTGTTTTGATTTCAATTTCCTTGCAAGGCTGCCTACTTAATAGTGTGGATGCTTTTACCATTAAATTCAGCAGCATCTGCTTTCTGTAAACACTCATTATACTGAATCTGGGTTTTCAGCAATATGGGATTACTCAGCGACTATGTAATAAAGCTATAACATTCTCAGAAATAAAACTGTCATGGGGTTGAATATCATTGTTTAATAAACATTCCAGAAGATTCTGCATTAGGGGTAGTCTACTTTTTTGTCATTTGGTATTCACTGAATGATCTTTATAGAAACCACCCAAACACTAATGATTAAAAGGGTAACTGAAACTCTGGACATGAGAGACTGGCTTCTGACATATGCTTATAAATATATGAGTTATTCTTTCTTACTGTGGTTAAAAAGAGTAGCTTAGGCTAGTTAATTCTATTGGAAGACGTTGGCCCTGGTCACATGGGGGGGGGGAAGCATGGCCAAAGCGTGGCTTTTCTGAGCCGCAGAAAAATAGACACGCGGCGGCGGGATCAGACAGATCCCTCGAGCTGCCGCGCAGTTGCTCTCCGACACGATCAGATGCCGGGGGGGGGAGCCATGGAACGGAGAGTGAGGCAGCCAGCTGCGCATGTGTGCGCATGCACAGTTTGGCCAGGAGCCTCGAATGCTGCGGAAGACAGGCGTGCCAGTGATCCCACGGCCGCCCTTGCTGCGGAGCTTCAGGTAGGTAGTACTCTTTTCTAGGGTTTTTTTTGATGCGCGGTTTCACCCGGAAAGGACAGATCGGGGACGGGTGCGTTCTGCTTCCCAGATGTTGCGGTGTGATTCCGCCTGTTTGATGCGCCCCCGATCCATCCCTCTTGCGGGGCAAAACCTCCTGTGTGACCAGGGCCATACTCTTGTATTTAGATGGTGCCAGGGTCTCAAGCAGGCTTCAGCTAAGCAAAAGGTTAATATAGAAATAAATGGTTCTCCTGCTATTAATTTTAAGCCAGATCAATTTTCTGAGCATTGTCATCGATCACTAGGAAAAAAATATAAATCTTCTGCACACCTTTGACTGAGCCACTATTGTGCTGGTGTGCATGCTATCTCTCATGTTGCTATGATAATCACACATTAGGGTTGCCAGGTCCATCTTCATCCCCAGCGGGGGACTTCGGGGGGGGGCATTCTGGGAGGGCAGGGCAGGGCATCCCCAACATGATGACATCACATCGGGGACATTCTGGTTCCAAGCCCCGCCCCCCTGGGGATAGTCCCACCAGCTGCAAGCTGTACTCAGAGGGTCCCCCCTACCCGATCTCCGAGTGGTATTGCTGCTCAGAGATCGGGCACACGGGGCCCTTTCCCGCTGGCTGCCTGCACTTAAAGGGGCTCCCTTTAAGTACGGGCAGCCGGAGGGCTTTGTGCACCCAATCTCCGCTCAGAGATCAGGCGTGTGGGGCCCTTTCTCTTCATTTAAATGAGCTCCCTGCACTTAAAGGAGCTCCTTTTAAGTGCAGGCAGCTGGAGGGCCTTGTGCACCCAATCTCCACTTGGAGATTGGGTGAACGGGGCCCCTTCCCATCGGCTGCTTGCACTTAAAGGGGCTCTGTTTAAGTGCATGCAGCTCAAGGCCCCTGCCTGCCTAATCTCTGAGTGGAGATTGGGCGTGTGACCCGCAGCTGCCCCTCTCCCTCCTCTTTCTCAAGAGAGAAGGGAGAGGTGTGGCTGCCGGTGTTGGGGCTTAGGGGTGGGGCTTCCCCCACCAGCCAGCTGGCCGGCGGTGGGTTGAACCCCCCAAAAAACAGGTGACCCCCACCAAACCAGGGGTCTGGCAGCCATAACACACATTGTGAAATTTTGCATCATAATTACAAAAATAGGGATATGAAGGTTTTGTTGACAGTCCTCAGTATTACATAATATTGGTTGGTTGGTTTGGGAAATGTATAGGATACCTTTCTAGAGACCTGTTTGAAGTGGCTCACAAAGTAAAAAAACAAACATAAAAAGATAAAAACTTTTAAAAGCCATAGCTTTGCTGATAAAACTTCCTTGAAGGGACATAAAGCTCATAAGCAACATAAGAACAGCAAGAAGTTGTTATGGAGGACATTAAAAGCAGTAACAGCTGTTATGTACTGATGGAGCTTGGGTCTGAGCAAAGGCTCCAAAGGCCTTCAAGACTATTGGCTGTGTTGCCGGTAATGACCAATCATATTTGTTGCTTATAATCCAATAGCTGCACCATCAATAGTTACTTTATAAATGGTTCATGCACACGAAGGATCCTAGCTGCCTACTTGGTAATGGTTGTTGCTTAAGGCGCGTGTGGTTTCTACAAGTATAAATTGGTTCCTGTTGAGCCTGTGTCTTTGGTTCAGAAATTCAATAAAGAAGCATGTTATTTTAAAAAGAGCTGCCTTGTCTCAATACTCTGTAACAGCAATAGTCATAAAAAACAGCAGCATGGGGAATATAAAATAACCACTTTAAAAGGATGGGATAAAACTTCAATTAAAACCCTGGACAAAGAGTAAAATGTTGGCCTGCTGCCCAAATGACCGTAAGGCAGGCGCCAGGCAGGTGTCAAGGGGGAGGGAATAACAAAGGCTCACCTGTCACCTACCCTACTAGCATTCAGAAACCAAACACTAATGGCTCCTTCTTTTTATTTATTGTCTTTAATGTTTTTGCAACTGGAGTCATAAACATAGGCTTGCCAAGTCCCACCGGGGGGCGGGGAAACCCCCGCCCCAGAGGCCTGTTCCCCGCCGGCAGCGGATCAGGCCCTGGGGGGAACCCCACCCCCAAAGCACGGGATGTGCCCAGCGTCAGCACGTCGCCCGGAAGTGACGCAGCCACGCCGGGTGCGCCAGGGGCACCAGGGGCGGGGCCGCGGTCATCCGAGGGAAAACTCATCCGGGAGTCCCCTGCTGCGGCTAAATTAGGACTTGGCAACCCTACATAAACAGCAAACCCTCATCCCACAATAAAGCTTGTTCCACAGGAAAACATGGAAGAATTTAAAGGTTGCTACTGCAAAAGTTGTCATGTGATTTGACAACAGCTGCTAGAAATGTTGCCACACTCAGAGTAGCTTGTTTGTCTTCATCTCTAAGTAACCAGGACAATTTTGCTTCTGGAGAGAGGAAGTCCTTATTAAGTAAAGGGGAGATCAGTTCATCTCTTAGAGCTGAAAATTTGGGACAATCAAGCAAAACATGATCCACAGAGTCAATTTTACTGCTGCCACAATTTCAGAGTCAATCTGAGTATGAAATCCCATTAAATCTTCTTGACATCACCGCTGAAGGTAGGGCATTTGGCATGCTAGCATGAATGTCCTTCTGTACTTTGGAATGCCCCCTTCTAATGTTTCTTTGGGAGTGGTTCCACCTTGTCCCCTTTCTGTAGTATTCCCAAGATTTCAGAAGCTCCAGGGAGAATTCTCTTGACCATACCTCTGTAGCTCCTACTCCAAAAAAGAGTCATGGAAAGACATATTAGAAACCTTCCTCACAAGATTTCGCAAGGTATCAACCTGTTAGTGGAAGCAGATAAGTGGCAGTGGATCTAACATCTCCATAGTCATATTAAAAGAAGCCCCAATATTCTGCAAAGTAAAATTTTCAAATAAAGGTCTTCAAGATTATTAACAGAAATGTGGGAGCATTTCAGTATTGGAGAGTTCAGACTGTGAATGTCTGCATTTTGGAAAGTTCCTGTCTGAAGTTCCTGCTCAGCACATAGTTAGCCCTTTTCACCACCATAGCCACCACCTTCCCTTTCCTGCGGAATACCAATGGCAGTTGTGGTGGCAATTAAAAACCTGCTGTGGTAGTGATCAGGAGCCATGACCCTTGGGAAATGCCAAGTTTCCAAGGCTTTAGGGCTATTACTAAGATCTTAAAACTCCTGGGGGGCCAAATACCATTCCTTGGAATCCTGGTTCTTTCGTTGCTCTTTCTGCAGCATTCTAGAACTTAAAGCTACTGCTGCCACCAATACATTTTATGGGCAGCAGACAGGGAGGAGGCTCGTGAGGCATTCAGGCCTCATCCTGTTTCCAATGACATCATTGTTAGCATTATGAGACCTGTAGAGGGAACTTGATCTGAAAACAAGCTAATCTAAGCCCAAACCAACTACAAGCCAAAGTGCATTCATTATAGGTGATCCCTTTCAAAACTAACATTCAACCATCAATCTGTAGCACTTTTCCTTGTGCAAAATTATAGTGGACCAGAAATCATAGTTCTAAATCTTGTCTCAGTCACAAACTCTTGAGGTGGCCTTAGAGTCTAGACACACCAACTCCCTCTCTCAATACATAATTCAGGAATAATAATACTGGCCTTACAGGTAAGATATATGTGAAGTGCTTGGTAAATGCAATTCAGGGCCATAGAATGAATCCATGGTCAACTGCGATTTGAACCTGCCTATTTCTATTTATTTTTATGACATTTTTCTCAGCCTCCGTCCAGTACTAGTGCCTGACAACAATATTTTAAAACCATACAATATTCAACAACTTTTAAAAACTGCAATGTCAATCAACATACTCATTCCTTATCCTACAAGAATATTAAGTGCCAAAAAACTTGCTCAGCAGCATTTATTGATTTATTTAAAGAATTTTCATGCTGCTTCTACAGTGACCTGCTTGAGGCAAGTCACACAAGTAAAAACAATTCTATAAAATAATAAAAACAACAACATAAGCTATCAATATTTTAAAAGGCCACTACAAACAAGCGAGAGGGATAAAAATAGCATAAAACACATAACAAACAGCCTAAGAATATCCATAGAACACTACTCAAGCAAAAGGCAGCTAAAAAAAAGATGAGATTTTGTAAATAAAAGCTTGAAGATAGATAACTATTTGGGCTGGTACCTAAAAGAAAGGCAAGATAAGTGCCAGCAGGAGAGTATTCTAAAGGTGAGGCATACCACTGAAAAACTTCTGTTAGCATTTGCTGTGCAGGTCTTCACTTTTCTTTTCTTTTTTATTCTTTGAGGCTCTCCGCTACAGCAGAAAGCCTACTAGACAAATACAAAAAGAGCTGAAATCACTAGGTCTGAGCCACTCTTAACTGCTGCATTGGACAGTTCATTGGGAGGCAGGAAGGTGTAGGGTTGCCTGCTACTGCAACCCATTGCCTTTTGCCAGTAAATTCAGCAGTGGGAGGTGTTGGGAATTGCCTGGCCCCAACTTGACCCCGCCCTGGCTGCCTGAACTGCAGACCTGACTCATCTATGCAAGAAGGGCTGGGAGAGGGGAGTGGCTGGGATCTTGGCAGAGTGCTCCAACCCAGCCAAGAACAAGGCTGGAAGTGAGGAAGCAGTGGAGAAGGGTGTAGCCCAAAGGCAAGCTCAAGCCTGGACTTGGAGAACGATGGGATGGGAGAGGGTAAGAGCAGCAAGGGGAAGGAGCAGGGCAGAGAATCAAGCAGCAGAGTCTTCCCTTTCCTTTTATGGCTTCCTGGGTGAAGCAGGTGGAAGAGGATTTGATCCAGGCCAGGTGAAGGTGGAGCCAAGGAGTCCCATGAAAGGAAAGGCACCACGCCCGACCAGGAGGGAAAGAAGGGACTGGGCTGTCAGTGTCATGCCCGCAGTGCAGCCCGACCCTGTGGACCCTGACCCCGGGGATTCTGCGCCCTCAACGTCCGAGGGTGAGCTCCCTGTACCCCTTGAATCACCAGACCTTAGTCCTGCGGAGGATGAGCACCAGATACCAGGAGAGTTTACACCTGGAGCCGCACTGGCAGAGCCAAGAACAAGCACCATGCCTCCTGATTCCCCCCCACCAGTGGCTCATTTGCGAGAACAGAGGCGGCAGGACATGGCAACCCGTTGTAAGGAGGCACACATGTGAGGTCAGCGTCCTCTAAGCCCAGAGTACTGACCGGAGCCAGGACCCTGTTAGTGGCCGGTAATTGGCTAATAAGTGGAACAGGCTTTTTAGGTAGTTCTCTCAGATCCCCAACTCGTGCTGGCAACTAGTCTCATAGACAACTCGCTGCACCCCGGATCCTGCATTCCTGTCTCCTGGTTTTCATCCTGACTTCTCAGCTCCTGACTTTGGCTTGCGTAACGTTGTTTCTCCGGCTCCCTGACTACGGACTGTGTATCCTGACTTTTGACGAACGGCTTTTGATTTCTGAACTCTGCATACAATCTCTGGTAACCCTAGACTGCGTTTTGACTTGGTATTTTGGACTCTGCTGACGTTACTCTGTCTTATCTGGTGGCCTGACCTCGGACGGTGTTTTGGACTTTCCGTGCCGTTCCCTGCCCGCCAGCGCAATAATGACAGCCAGAAGGTGAGAGAGAAGGCCAGAGTGAGGCAGTCCAGGAAAGGAAGACGACCAGGGTGCCAGAACCCCCTCTCTTTCCCAGTCCTGAGGCTCGAGTGAGGACCTCCTCCTCATCCCACTTTTGTCTGGGGAAGCAACGGAGGGTGAGGAGTCCACCTGGGGGCAGCAGAGCCTCACAGGGGGACAAGCAGTGTTGTATGTGCAGCAACTTCATTTCCGGCCAAAAACTGGAAGTGATGTCACTGTGTTGCATTAGTTCTTTTGGCCAGAAATAATGTCATTCATTGCCATTTCTGTCTCTCTGTTGCCCCAAGCTTCTCCACCTCTCTTTCCAGCTGATCTCCTCCCTAGTAAGACTCTTGCCAGAGGCTGTTCTTCAAGTACTTTTGTCCTAAGCAGTTTAGGCCTTAAAGACAAGAACCAGAACTTTGAACTGCACTCAGAAACAGATGGGCAGTTAATGAACACCTTTCCACAGATACAATATACGGGTCTCTGCATTTTGGACCAATGGAATGTTTCAGATGCATGACAATCTCTACAATGAGGGCCAGCACAGATCCAGAAGAGGGTCCGGCAAATGGAAAAACCTCTTCCTGTTCATGCTGGCGATATAGATGGTGTACATGGGCTATCAACTGTAGTTGCAACTCTAGGATAAGAATTAAGTATTATTATGAACATTTATGGAGTGTTGCTTATGAAGAGGTCAAATTGAAAGAGCAAGTCCAAGGCCACTTGGCGAGCTTCATGGCTAAGCAAGGATTTTAACCCTTGTCTATCCTCCCCAACCCCATATATTAAACCCCCTTATTTTCATAGAGCCTGGGCCATTGGCATTACCTGTGTTGAAACTCACACCCATCTAAAAGGATTCAGAGTTAACAATCAGATTCAGAGTTAACAACCAGTTTAGAAAAAGGGGGTGCCACACATGTTCAGTCTGCAAAATGATATTTCAGTAAACACATAGAGTACATTTATCTGAATGTTCACAAATGTATGTGGGATCACACATACAAATAAACGGTGTTTATTTTAACATGTAATCACTAAAGTAAACACAGCTGTAGGAGAATGTGATTTGCAAAATTTGTTGCTTCTAATCCAGATACTTTTAGTGGTTCAAATACCCTTATTTTCAGTAAGGATCACCACTGGCAGAACACTGCCTTGTGGAAATCGAAATGTATGTGCAATTTAAGTGCAAGTTTCTCCTGTGGGAAAGAACCTATCTTCCATTATATAATCACATAGCTACGATCAAAATACTGATATTTTTCCTATTGCACTATGTCAGGAATTAAAAGTGCCATCCTAAACAGCTGTTTTAAATTAAATGGAGGCAACACAGTAAAGGAAATTAACATGTGGGCAGTCCCAGTTCTAAAATACACAGCTGGCATTATTGACTGGAAACAAGCAGAATTAGAAGCAACAGATCGCAAAACTCACATGATGATGCATCACTCACTACACCCTAGAAGTGATGTTGATCATCTCTGCTTACCAAAACAATTAGGTAGAAGAGGACTCCTGAAAGTGGTAGAAGCAATTGAAGAAGAAAAACAAGCATTGAATGACTACACTAAGAAAAGCAAAGAGAAGCTTCTAGTTGAGGTATACAGGGCAGACTTGTTTATGGTTACAGAAGCCAAAGAAGATTACAAAAAGATTGCAATTAAAACTCACGTTGACAGCTGGAAGGAAAAGCATTGCATGGGCAATATCGGAAAGACATAGAGAATAAAGTTGATAATGAAAACACCTGGAAGTGACTTCAAAATGGGCACTTGCAGATAGAAACAGAAGGACTCATTCTAGCTGCACAAGAGCAGTGATGACAGCAAATGTCGACTTTGCAAGACAAAGTATGAAACAGTCAACGACATGGTCAGTGCCTGCAGTAAAATTGCTCAAACTGCCTATAAAGAACGTCACAATAGAGCTGCAGCTATGTTGCCCTGGGATCTTTGCAAGAAATTTATGGGGACACAACCCAGATGAAATAATGGAGAATGATGAAAGAAAGATTCTTTGGGACTTCTGATTACAAACAGATAAACACCTGAAGCATAACACCCCTAATATCACAACTGTAGGAAAAAAAATGAGAAATAGGGTTTGGATCGTTGACATTGCAGTCCCAGGAGACAGCAGAATAGAAAAGAAAGGAGAAGATCACAAAACACCAGGACCTACATACAAAGTTAGAGTGCTTTTGGGAGAAGAAAGTTACCATCATGCCAATTGTCACTGGAGCCCTTGGACCAGCACCTAGAAGTCTCAAAAAGCACCTGGACACTCTGGGCATTTAGCAAATCACACCAGCTCAGCTCCAGAAGACAGTGGTGTTTGGAACAGCAAGAATCCTGAGAAGATACCTCTGGAATTCCCAAGAACTTGGTTAGATCTGAACTTGCAGAACGCCATCTACCAGTCAAATACCTGGCTGTGGCAATTCATAATAATAATAGCATGCCATCAAGCCACAACCAATTCATGGCGACCATGTGGTTTCCAAAGCCAGAAATGAGCAAAAGTGACTTGCCATTGCCTTCCTCTGCATAGGCACCCCAACCTTCTTTGGTGTTTCCCATCCAACTACTAACCATGGCCAACCCTGCTTAGCTTCCAAGCTCCAGCAAGATCAGCTCCAACAGCTGCCTCATATTGAGTTAGGTCATTTAGTTAGCTAACCCAGAGCTCTTGGCAAAAGTTCTCCAAAGTCTTAGTCTGACTTATTTCCCTGCCTTGTCTCTTTGACCAAAGGAGACCCTTTTGCTCAAGATCTAAAGAGATGATACAATGTTAGTTAGTTAGTTAATTAAGACAGTCAACAACAAGCACAAATCACAATACACTGTATGCCAGAATTATAAGTTAATGAATCATAAACCAATAAATAAATATATGGGCTATATAACATGATTTATTATTTATGTACTGCATAGAATATGTTTGCGAATTTCACAGGCAGCTGCAAAAAACCTTGCAGAAGAAGCTGTAGTCTGCAAATTAACGCCCATAAGAAGCTTCCTTAAAAACTCTGAGTCACAGCAGACTGGGAACCTTCTGCATAGAGGGAGAATAAACTTAACACGTATTTCCTGATAGAACTGGCAGGAGAACATATTTGTTTGTTTCAACAACACCAGCACCACAAGGACAAACCCTCTCTAACACAGGAGTCTTTCTATATCTCTTCTAAAACACCGCAGAGGGAGCTACATGCCACCTACCTAGAGAAAATGCACTGTGATGGGTAGGAGACTCTAGAGATGAAAGGTAGGCTGCCAGAGCTACAATAGATCTGGTGTTGTCTGGAGCAAAAAAATTGGTGCTCTGCTAATATCACATTGCTGTTCAGTATCTAACACCCTCTGTTTAATGGACGCAATAGCCTGGTCCAGTCTCATTACTACTAGGTGGGGGGGGGGGAAACCTAGAGTTGTCAACTTATGATGAATCCCAAAGCTTTACTCTGCTTTTTCAACCTTGTCCTAGATACAAATCACAGCTCAAACCAAGCCATACAAAACCAGCATAATTAATCAGGATTTAGGGGCTTCTGCACAGGACTCTGTGATTCAGTTCCAGGGCATGGATAAAAATCCATGACATTTCAGAGAACACTTGAAAATACACTGAAGAAAACAAAACAAAACAATGTTGCATCTCAACAAAAATTAACGTGCAACCAGTATTAAAGATGTTGCTTCTGGTTTCGATCTCCCAAAACCCTTTAAGTGATGATTCCAGACAAGAAACTGTCAAAGTTCTACATTCCAAGCACGTATTCTACCAGAGAAGGAAGGCAGACCCCACTTTAGATTCAGAGGCCGGAAATAATTCACAGCAGTAAAATACTATGTCTCTTCATCTCAGGCTCTTTTCCCCTCATAAATTTAACAAGGGTGGGCATGATGGTGGGAAAGATCTGGTTTGTCCCAGAAGACGCTGAATCAGGAAGACGATCCAATGCATGTCAAAGATGGCTCATCTGCAGTGCATAAATTAGGATCCCCATTCACTAGAATGGAGAAAACCGGTCCATAGTCATATAGCTTGGATCAGCACTTCCATGAAAGGCACGGAAGCTTCTTTTTATGCCATAGATTTATGTGTACATGAATTAGTATCTGAATCAGGGCACGAGTCTCTTGATGCCTCTTTTTCATTCTTGCAATGGAAAGTTGGCTCCTTTGTCTACAAAAAGGTTATTATGAGCCATACCAATAGAGGTTTCTAATTTACAATGATACTATGATGCTTTATGTCATCATAGTCCTACAGTGCAATGCTACGAAGAGTTACTCCAGTCTAAACTCCACCTTGTAGCCCAGAGACACTGCCTTACTTGCAGGTAGCCCTAAATAACAGGACACCCCACTTCTAATCTGAACCAGAGACCCACAAAGTCAGGAAAAGGGTCTCCATTTTCAGGTGGCACAAGGCAGCCCACAGAGCAAACCTCCAGCCTTCCCCCTCCACCCAGAAAGGTATGCATATGAAACAATGAGTTTCACCAGGTAAAGGATCTACATTTCTAAAGGCTATTCAGAGGCCACCTGGCGAATAGCCCTTCTGTCTCCAGAACTTCACCTAGTCCTTTTGTATGCACCTATGTCTATGTGAAAATATCTCCACAACCAGGGCTCTAGTCGGGGGGGAGCTCTCAGGTACGGAGCTCCGGAAGAGAACCTCTAGGGGGCGGGGCGGTCACGTGGTGAAGCCCCGCCCCCTTCTTTACCCCGCCCTCTGCTTCGATCCTCATTCCGTTTGGGAATGAGGATGAAGCAGGAGGGTAAGTAGCCGGGCCTTCTGACACACTTCCGGTGATGTCAGGGGGTGTGGCCTTATGTCACTTCCGGTATGGTCAGGGGGCGTGGCATATGCAAATAAGTTATGCTAATGAGTTATGCTAATGAGCTCCGGCAGCTCTTTTTCTACAACAAGACCCCTGTCCACAACTGTCCTTCCTGCTCCATCCCTCATAATACCGAGATAAACCAAATGTTTCGTGATCCTTCCTGAGGCTAATCAGGGACTCATCTCCCAACTTTTGTCTAAAACTGGGAACCTATTCAACCTGCCCTGGTAGGACAGTCAGTGGTCATCAAATCCATTCAACCAGCTCCAGTACAGTCATCCAGCACCTGACTAATCCCCTAAGACTCTGTCCCCCTAAAACTTCATTGGTCACACCTAGGTCTTGCTCCTCCTGACACTGATTGTTCGAGGTAATCTTTTGTCTTCACCTGGGACAAGCCCCTCAAGACCTCCTATTGGTCTGCATTGTATTCCAATGTCTATATCCATCCACGCACATGACCACCAAGGTGTGCACACGAGACAGTGCCTATACTTTGAGTACACCCCCAAAGTCTCTTCTTTGGTCCTTCCCATAGTGCATAATGCTGGCCGTTGGCACTATTCTCTTCACCTCTGCTTTCTTAGTTCTGTGTTGCTTGCTCTTTTTGAATGCTTAATGTGCTTGTAACTTGATAAATTCTTCAATAAAAACTATTTAATTTACTCTTCAAATGTGGAGTCTTCCTACTGTACTGGACCTTGGTATAAACTGGTGTGTGATTCCTGATACCCCTCTGGCCTCCCCTGCTAATTTCTCCATCAATGAGGCAGGCCATTGGCAGTAACAACCAGCCTTCCGGATTAACTTGCAAAACATCTACAGTGACTTTTGAAGTCACCTGGACTGAGTTTCTAGGGTAGCAGTAGTATAATTAGATGTTGTTAACATCAACAGCAAACTATCTTGACCATTACTGATACAGGAAAAGTAACATATAAATATGTAATCTAATTTCACCAATGCTTGTTTTGGGTGAGGTCTATGAAAAGGTGCTTTTCAAATAAATGAGTAAAGAATCTGAAAAAATAAACAAAAGTTTGCCTGTTCTCACAATTTGCTCTTGCCCTGATCTGGCTAACCTGATCTCATCAGATCTCAGAAGCTAAGGGTTAGCCATGGTTAGTACTTGTATGGGAGACCATTAAGAAAGTCCAGGGGTGCAGAGGCAGACAATGGTAAATCACCTCTGTTTGTCACTTGGCTGTGACTTGATTGCACTTTCCACCACCACCAGAATTTGTTCTCAGTGACCCTTGTGCATTAGGAGTATTTTCTCCTTTTTTGTGTCCAAGCTAATCTTCATTTGTCTCAACAAACTGGTCTGGACCATGATAAAATTCCCATCTGGACGTACTTCCTTGAAGCTTGGTGAACTACTGCAAGCTGCAAGCAAGTTGAGTTTAGACAAAGGATTATTTCTTCCCACACATGGCAGTTCTGAGCCTAGATTTGCACACATTTTCATATAATATCTCCCTTTGATTATGGCTGTTCTTAAATGCGGCTAGACAAACATATTCATCAGTGTCCTATAAACCTTCCAGATATTTATGGTCTTCAGATTTTACAACACTAATGCGGCACACAAGTGGTTTGGTGATGAATGTCCCATCCAGTTGGCAATGTTTACCCAAGTTCTACCACAAGTATTAAAAAGTGGTATCAATACATCTCTGCTGCATTTAGAGCACAAATAAACTGAGCAGTTCCAGAAATGGCCATGGCAATAAAGGAGTAATTTCAGTTTCCCACAGCATCATAAAAAAGCAAAAAGTTAATGGAACTACAGTGCTTCTCATCCTTCTAATGTCATCCTTCTATATTCTTCCATTAATCTTCACATGGCCTCAGCTCTAATTTTTTCGTAAGATCTGCATAAAAAACATTCCATACAGATAGTACAAGACCTACTTAACCTCAGGATCTAACCTCAGTTTAGCCAGAATGTAAAAATCTTCCATAGCAATCAAAAAAAGGAAATGGCAACTGGAAATTTGGGGAGAGAAGGCAGCATGGTATAGCCCACTCTCGTCAGATCTCGGAAGCTAAGCAAGGTGAGTACTTTGAAGGGGGACCACCAAGGAAGGCTCTGCAGGAGGAGGCAATGGCAAACCACCTTCACTTCTCACTTGCCCTGAAGGCTCCTTGCTCTGGCTGTCATAAATCGGCTGTGACTTGATGGAACTTTACACACGCACATTGAAAATCTGAAGTACTTAATTTCATCTCTGACTCTACCTCTTGCTTTATTTTATTTATTCAAGTATTCATACCTCGCTTTTCTCCACCGTGGGCACTGAAAACAGCTTTCAACATGGCTCTTTCCTCCTCCATCCCTCCAACAACAAACTTGTGTGGTAGGTTACATCAAGAGAGAGCGACTTGACCCAAGGTCACAGCAGACTGGAGTTTTGAACCTGGCTCTCCCAGATCCTCATAATCTCACCACTACACAACAATGGCTCCTCACAGGGGTCATTTCGTAGAAAAAGAGCTAGGGGAACTCATTAGCATAACTCATTAGCATATGCCACACCCCCTGACATCAGGGGCCCGGCAGTGGACCTGCAAGGCCAGCGGGAGTGCGAGGAAGCCCCGCCAAGGCCCTCCCTGGCCCCAGGCAGGCAGGGGTGGGGAGAGGCGAGGAGGAAGCAACTTACCCTCCCTCTTCTCCTGCCTCCTCCTGGCTGAATGAGGGTTGGAAGCGGGGCAGCCGGAAGCAGGGGGCGGGGCTTCATCATGTGCCCCACCCCCTGCACCTCACCCAGGGGAACTGCGTTCCCCCGCGTTCCCCCCCGAAATGACCTCTGGCTCCTCATAATTTAAGGAGAAGAATGAAACTGGATAACACGGCATGGGACCTCAATGTTAACAGTACAATCAGAAGAAAGTTTTACTAGAGTCAGATGCAGGTATAAATTCAGCTAAGGGGAAAAAAACAGGTTGGAGAGGGGAAGGCAAGAAAGTCAGGGGAGGGGAGGCTAAAATGTTATGCTCCACAGGTAGAAATCTTTCCATTCACAGACATGCTCCGAGGAGGGGCTGTGGCTCAGTGGAAGAACATCTGCTTTGCATGCAGAAGGTCCCAGATTCAATACCCAGCATCATCAGTTAAAAGGCCCAGGCAGTAGGTGATGGGAAATACCTCTATCTGAGACTCTGGAGAGTTCCTGGCAGTCTAAGTAGACAACACTGACTTTGATAGACTGATTGATTCAGCATAAGGCAGCTTCATGTGTGTTCATGTGTGATGACAGTCAAGTGATGTTCCCAAAATTCACAGCCACATGTTTCAACGAAAAAAAAATTACTTCTGTTTTGACTCTGCTTCTGTCTTTCACAGACCAAACTGATGAGTCTTTACTTTCATGCCCTTTTCTTAGGGCTGCCAAGTCCCCCTAGGGGGCGGATAACCCCCCGCTTTGGAGGCCCGATTTCCGCCACCGCGGAATCGGGCCCCGGGGGGAACCCCACCCTGGCGTGCACATCAGCCAGAGGTGACGTGATGATGCCGGGCATGCTGGGGGCGGGGCCACAGCCATCTGAGGGGAAAACTCTATGTTTTCCCCTCTGATGGCTGTGGCCCCGCCCCCAGCGTGCCCAGCGTCATCATGTCACCTCCCCTCAGATGGCTGTGGCCCTGCCCCCAGCATGCCCGGCGTCATCACGTCACCTCCGGCTGACGTGCATGTGGCGCGCGCACGCTCAAGACGCCGTCCAGGACCCCCCCGCCACTGAGCGAAACAGACTTGGGAACCCTACCTTTTCTATTTCTCTGCAATGGATTTTTCCCATTGTAGTTTTGTGCCAGGTAGCAAAATGATGTAAAGTCACATTCTGAAAACTAACAACCTGGCAACAACAGCAACAAAAAGGAGCAAAACAAAACAGGTTGACAAGCAAAGCAAACAAACATGCAAAACCAAGGAAAGGACATGCTCCTACATCCCAATGTCCACTTGGGGATCCAACTGCACAACACTGCTAAAGAAATCACTGCTTGCTGTTCTTTCAGCTCAGCTCTTCATCCAAGTCCTGTAAAAAAAATAATCTCATTTTTGCACTTGGCTTCAGTTTCTTGGGCCCTCCTGTGGTCCATTTCAGTTCAGCAATAAATCTCTGGTAGATAGTGGACAATAATAAACTTGTATTATTCCGCCAAGCAAAGCCCTTAGCCAGAAGAATAATTTTGGAGTAGCCCTGAAATATTTTACAGCGTAATCAGATGCATGTAAAACAGCTCAATGTAGCAAGACAACCATTTATTTATTTCTTAAAAAGGAGGAAAACCAGAAATTCCCTGAAATCATAAAACCAAGGTTCAGCAAAAGCACTGAACATAATGATACTGAGCCATTATAGATTTGTTCAGGCTTATTTATTTCATAATGGCAAACTGTATTTGCTGCAAAAACAGATGGTGTTGCATGGGCCTCTAGTTGACACACGCTGATACGGTCATCCACTACAGCAGACAAACCAATTTTAAGGCTGGCTCAAATACAACTCCAATCCCTCGAGTGAAAGAAGAGCATCCAGTAAAGTTCAAAAGAGCACCAGATTTTATAATCAGAGAAACTTGCAGCACTGAAGATCGGCGCTTGGACACGCTGTTCTCCAAAGGGAGCTTGCAAGCCCATACCTTGCACCCTTTGTGCCAAATGCAGATCTCCTGGTGAACATACTGGAATAGCGGAAAGTATGGGTCTTCGTGTGAATCTCAGGTTCATTGCCAGGGACCAGGTTGCCAGGTTTTTAATGGCTCTGATCCCATGTCTGTCTTGTAGATTATAAATAGATGAAACATTATTTATTTGCATCCCAGGGAAATAAGGCTTTGATTGCTTTACCAGCTCAACTGCTACACTTCTGCACATGCATTCCCACCTCCCTTCTCAAAACTGCTGCCTTTTGTGCCTTGGGTTGCTAGGTCACCCCTGGCTACTGGAGGGGAATGGGGGGGGGGATAGTGTTCCCAGATCTAGTTTGGGAAACTCCTAGAGATTTGAGGTGGAGCCTGGAGAAGACAGGGACCTCAGTGGGGTACACTGCCATAGAGTCCACCTTCCAAAGCCTCAATTTTCTCCAGGGAAATTAGGGTTGCCAGGTCCCCTTGTCGCTCCAGCAGGGGGATCTGGGGGCATTCCGGGATGTCCCTGTTGTGATGACATCACCTGGAAGTGAAACCCATCTTAAAATCATAGAGTTTTGCCCTCAAACTAGTGTGTCCTTGTGTGATGCCCCCGGTATGATCGCTTCCGGGTGATGTCATCATATTGGGGAGTCATGCGGAGATGTGGCTGTTTGGGGCAGGGTTTCCCCTGCTGGCCGGGAGTGGGCTGAAGCCCCAAAAACTGGAGGAACCCCCACTCCAACCTGGGAAATGGCAAGCCTAAGGGGAACTGATCTCTGCAATCTGGAGAAAGCTGTAGTTCCGAGAGTTCTGAAAGAACTCAGATGTGAACTTGTGGATCTCCTGACAAAAATATGCAATCTTTCACTAAAATCTGCCTCCATTCCTGAGGACTGGAAGGTAGCTAATGTCACTCCCATCTTTAAAAAGGGTTCCAGAGGAGATCCGTGAAATTACAGGCCAGTCAGTCTGACGTCGATACCGGGTAAATTGGTGGAAACCATTATTAAGGAAAGAATTAGTAGGCACATAGATGAACAAAACCCATTGAGGCAGACTCAGCATGGGTTCTGTAAGGGAAGATCTTGTCTCACTAACCTGTTAGTGTTCATTGAGGGAGTGAACAAACATGTGGACAAGGGGGATGCAATAGATGTTGTTTACCTTGACTTCCAGAAAGCTTTTGATAAAGTTCCTCATCAAAGGCACATAAGTAAGCTCAATAGTCACGGGATAAAAGGACAAGTCCTCTTGTGGGTCAAAACCTGGCTAATTAATAGGAAACAGAGAGTGAGTATAAATGGACAATTTTCTCAGTGGAGGGTGGTAAGCAGTGGGGTACCGCAGGGATCAGTACTCGGTCTGGTGCTTTTTAACTTGTTTATTAATGATTTGGAGTTGGGAGTAAGCAGTGAAGTAGCTAAATTTGCAGAGGACATGAAATTGTTCAAGGTGATGACAACCAGGGAGGATTGTGAGACACTGCAAAGGGATTTGTCGAGGATAGGCGAGTGGGCGTCAACGTGGCAAATGGGGTTCAATGTGGCCAAGTGCAAAGTGATGTACATTGGAGCAAAAAATCCTAACTATAAATGCACGTTGATGGGGTCTGAACTGGCAGAGACAGACCAAGAGAGAGATCTTGGAGTCGTAGTAGATAACTGAAAATGTCAAGACAGTGTGTGACTGCAATAAAAAAGGCCAACGCTATGCTGGGGATTATTAGGAAGGGAATTGAAAACAAATCAGCCAGTATCATAATGCCCCTGTATAAATCGATGGTACATCCTCATTTGGAGTACTGTGTACAGTTCTGGTCACCACACCTCAAAAAGGATATTATAGCATTGGGAAAAGTGCAGAAGAGGGCAACTAGAATGATAAAAGGGTTGGAACACTTTCCCTATGAAGAAAGGTTGGTGCTCTTTAGCTTGGAGAAATGACGGCTGAAGGGTGACATGATCGAGGTTTATAAGATTATGCATGGGATAGAGCAGGTAGAGAAAGAAGTACTTTTCTCCCTTTCTCACAATACAAGAACTCGTGGGCACTCCATGAAATTGCTGAGCGGTCAGGTTAGAACAGATAAAAGGAAGTACTTCTTCACCCAAAGAGTGATACACACATGGAATTCACTGCCACAGGAGGTGGTGGCGGCTACAAGCATGGACAGCTTCAAGAGGCAACTGGATAAACATATGGATCATAGGTCCATCAGTGGCTATTAGTCACAAGGTATAGATAGGAACTCACAGGCTGGGGCAGGTGATGCACTGTATTCTTGGTGCTTGGGGGGGGAGCAACAGTGGGAGGGTTTCTAGTGTCCTGGCCCCACTGGTGGACCTCCTGATGGCACCTGGTATTTTTGGCCATTGTGTGACAGAGTGTTGGACTAGATGGGCCATTGGCCTGATCGAACATCGGCTTCTCTTATGTTATTATGTTCTTATCTGGAAGCTAGCATCCATATTAATGCCTTGACAAGAGGGTGTAGTGAAAAGGAACTGGCCCAAACCCCTTTCCTTACTCTCTTCTGATGGTAGAGAAAGCCCACTGAAGTGAACTTACCCCAAGAGGGAGGTGGGTATTTTGCCCGTGTCCCCCCCTCCCCACTGCAGCCCCCTCATGATGCATTTTGTTTGCAGGGGCCCCCTCACCCATCAGCAGATAATTTCTAGGGGGCTGCTGGGGCAAGAACTAT